TTAGGTATTCGAATGAATGCCGGATTGTATAATCGAAGACAATAAAGAAAACATTAACAAGGTCATGGAATCCATTTGCTGGCAATAATGTTGGAAAGTCGCAGTAAAGGACTTCCGCTATTTTCTTCACGTCGATGACGAGAGGGAAAAGGATTGTGAGGAAGGTGTGCGTGTGTGCGTGAGAGCTTACAGGACAAGGTCTGATGATAAACAGAAGGTAAAAAAATTACTTGTATTACAGAGGCAACCCATTCTGGAAATAAATTGCGTGATGACGTTAGTGAAGAAAAGACAGTCCGTAGAACATGATTTTATTGAGGAAACATTACTGCTGTAGTGTACATAATATACATCATCCCCAGTGGTGGTGGTCACACGCAGTAAGTACAGTGGTGAAACCTCACAAGATGTAAAAAAAAAAAAAACAGAATTTAGAAACACCAGTAAACTTATGGGATCCACAACAAGAAGGCATAAACAGTTCATTGTGTTAGGCATATACACTTTACAGCAAGGCAAAACGCCAAACTCATAAAAAATGAACTGGGCTAGATGATGTATGGAAATTGCTCTAATTAATACGCAAAACACTATATCAAAGAGGTGACAGTGCAGTGCTGGATCCCAGAAATTTGAGCTACTCTGTTCTTCTTTGGTTCAAACATTATACCTCCCTACAGGTTTAGTGCTTCACAATGTACATAATAATAATGGTTTGATGCAAGATGGTGCACTGTTGCAGAGTTGAAGGTTTGGTTAAGGCAACGTGTTTAGTGGAGGGAGATGAGACGGATTACTACATTTTGACACCAACAGCCTGGTTGATCAAATAGTGAACAGGGAAACCTGGCTTCAGGAAGGGTTGTCAAGCACCCTTGAAATCCCTCACAGGTATGTGGCGTGGATGAAGGTAAATTTTGATACGAAGAGAGGGATCATTCACAATACAAACTGTACGTTGTGAGGATACGAGGATAGAGATTATTCACAGCTAACATTCAAACTGTAAACCAGAACTAGACCATATTTTGCTCTTTTTGGGGGGGTTCTGTTTGTGGGTTAGTTGTGAAGTGTGGATGGGTGAGAATGGGTAAGTGAAGTGAATGAATTAGAGGATGGGTGAGGGAGGGAATGGGTGAATGATGGAGTAGGTAGGCGAGAAAGTGGATAAATGAGTGGATGGGTGAATGAAAGAGTGGGGTAAATGAGTGGGTGGGTGAGAGTTGATGAGTGACATATTGAGGAAGTGAATGAGTGGGAGAAGAGAGAGAGAGAGAGGAGGGAGGGGGTGAGTGTTATTGAAAGTGATAAGAGTGAGAAACTCCTGGAAAAAAAAATAATTTCGTCATTGTTTCATGTTCGTGGATAAAGCTTTTTTTTTTTTATTTAATCGCGCATTAAAGGTTAATATTTGTTGGCTGAACTTTACTAACTTGAGATTAATTTCAAACTTTGAGTGTAGTAATTCATCACATAAATATTCATAACTTCTCGCCTGAGGATCCAGTCCCAGGAGGAAGTTATCAAACCGCTTAGCCAGTTTGGTTAAAATTTTTATGTCAAAGTTGCATTGTTTTACACATTTAAATTAAACTTGACACAACTTTGCTGGTCATGTCTATCTCGAGATGAAAACTATATATTTAGGTGCACTGCCGTTGTTGTTGTCACTGAGACACGAAGAAGTAATCTTTGCCTCAATAATAGAGCGTTAGGTAAATTGCCACGTGTGCCAGTAATAAAACAGTGCTGCTGTTTCGCTCACCAAGAGCTTTTTCAAATCAGTACATATTGGCTTGACAAAGCTCCTGGTGAGTGAAACGTAGCCGCATTAAATGTTTTATTAATCGAACTTGTGTGAGTTTAACATATTGTTGATATTCTTATCAATAATAAAACAATACTGAAGGGCCCGGGTTCTGTGTCCCAACTCTACCTTCCTCGCATTCTCAGTCTGTTCCTATCTACTCTTATTAATCACCTGAATAATTTATATGTCACGATCATGTTTCTCTTCTAGTATTGTTTACTTGAGTTCATCGTCTCTCCTCGTAGTTCGCTTTTACCTCTCGGGTCCGGCACCAGTCTTGTTGCTAACCTTTGGATCTTTTTTGGTCTGTACGCTTAATCAAGTGCGGGCTGTGTGCTGGCTTCGCATACTCCTAGATGAATCTTTCATACGTTGTATAATTGTCTAAATGAATCCTTCTTCAGGTTCCTAAAAGCAGGATGAAATTACGTGTTGCGTTGCAGCTCATTGCAATCGTGAGTAGAATGTTAGAAGATGCTTTTTAGTCCCGAGGCTCTATGTCCTCTTCCTCCCCCCAATATATTCTTTGTTACTCTTCCAGTTATGTGTGTATGTGCATTTGAATATATATGTGTGTATGCCAACTGTAGTGATATTTAGAGGATAAGTTAAAGTTAAAGGACTCATACAGGATTCAGGAGAGACAAGAGAAGCTAAAAGCGAATAGTGAACTTGAAAGAAATTCGAAATATTTCTTTTCATATGCCAAAAACAAGGCAAAACCCACTTCTAGTATAGGGCCCTTGCTCAGACGAGACAGATCCTACACAGATGACAACATAGAAATGAGTGAGATACTGAAATCTCAATATGACTCCGTGTTCAGCGAGCCACTAATCAGTCTACAGATAGACAATCCAAACAATTTTTTCGTGAATGAGCCTCAAAACCCTGCCAATGTATGCCAGATTTCTGACATAACCCTGACTCCACTAGACTTTGAGAAAGCCATTGACTATATGCCCATGCATTTAGCACCAGGCCCAGACTCGTGGAACTTGGTATTCATTAAGACCTGCAAGAAACCCCTCTCACGGGCCTTAAGTATGCTGTGGAGAAGGAGCAGACACGGGTGAGATTCCAGTCATTAAAACAACGGATATACCCCCACTCCATAAAGGTGGCAGCAAAGCAGTAGCTAGGAACTATAGACCAATAGCTTTAACGTCCCACTTGATAAAAATCTTTGAAAGACTTCTAAGAAGCATGATAGCAAACCTCTTGGACTCCAAAAATTGCAAAATCCAGGGCAACATGGTTTCAGAGCAGGTCGCTCCTGCTTCTCGCAACTATTGGACCAGTATGATATGGTCTTAGATCCACTGGAAAACAGAGTGCAGATGTAGTATACACAAATTTTGCAAAAGCCTTTGACAAGTGCAATCATGGTGTAATAGCACACAAAATGCTGGCAAAGTAGGTAGATGGATCTTCAACTTTCTAACCAATCGAGCACAAAGAGTAGTGGTAAACAGAGTGAAATCGGAAGCTACCATAGTGAAGAGCTCTTTTCCACAAGGCACAGTACTCACCCCTATCCTGTTCCTCATTCTCATATCATACATAGACAGAGATGTAAACCATAGCACCGTATAATCCTTTGCAGACGATACTAGGACCTGCATGAGTGTCATCCATTGAGGACACGGCAAATCTCCAAGAAGATATAAACTAAGTTTTCCAATGGGCAACGGAGAACAATATGATCAATGAAGACAAATTCCAACTACTTACTTTATGGAAAACTGGAGAAAATAATAGTTAAGACTGAGTATGCTACAAACTCTAATCACACAATCGAGCGGAAAAGTAATGTGAAGGACCTGGGTGTGGTAATGTTCGAAGATCTCACCTTCAAGGACCACAACAATGCCACTATCACATCTGCGAGGAAACTGATAGGATAGATAATGAGAACATTCAAGACAAGAGATGCTAAGCCAATAATGATGCTTTTTAAATCACTTGTTCTCTCTCGGCTGGAATACTGCTGCACATTAACATCCCCATTCAAGGCAGGTGAAATTGCAGTTCTAGAGTGTACAGAGAACCTTTACTGCACGTATAAGTCCATCAAACACCTTAATTACTGGGAACGTCTGGAAGCACTTGACTTGTACTCACTGGAGCGAAGGCGAAAGATACGTATCATCTACACCTGGAAGATTCTGGAGGAACTGGTTTCTAATCTACACACAAATCACTCCTTACGAAAGCAAAAGACTTCGCAGGCGATGCAACATACCCCCAGTGAAAAGTAGGGGTGCCACTGGTACGCTAAGAGAAAACACACTAAGTGTCCGGGGTCCAAGACTGTTCAACAGCCTCCCACAAGCCATAAGGGACATTACCAATAGATCCCTGGTTGTCTTCAAGAGGGAGCTGGACAGATACCTAAAGTCGGTGCCGGATCAGCCGGGCTGTGGTTCGTACGTTGGACTACGTGCGGCCAGCAGTAACAGCCTCATTGATCAGGCCTGATCCACCGGGAGGCCTGGTCGTGGACCGGGCCGCGGGGGCGTTGATCCCCGGAATGGCCTCCAGGTAGATTCGAGGTAGATAATCTTCATATGTTGGTCGAGGTGAACATCTTTACAATTAAGTACAATTAAACTGACTAAATATTGCCTGTTATTTCTCATACTACTCAATGTGTTGAATGGTTATTGTCACCTCTGATCAGTGGCACCAGGGAATCACTTCTCAAGTGAATATTCTATAACAGACATATTCTTTCGCATATAGATTCATACTTGAGCCTCTCCAAAATGAAATATTAATGAATACCTGTTCAAAACGGTCTGAACTTTATTTTTTGTAGTCTCTAAATAAAACGTGACTTGTTTGGAGGAAGGGGTGGGGGGTTTGTGTAGAGGTTGGGGTCAATGCATATTCAGGGGATTAAGGGAGATACTTCAGTTACCAGAGTATATTCACAGATAAGTGTATATTGCTTGGTGTGTATAGAATAAGAATTTACTTTAGTCTCTAATTTAAGGATTAAAGTATTCTTATTGTTCAGGTGGATTGCAGCCTTAATAGCGCCCATGTAGTCGATGGGCTCTAAACATTAAGAAACTAGCTTAATTCATCTATGTGTAGGTTAGTGAAGGTGAAGGCGGAAGGGCGAGTGTGACTGACATAGGCTGTGTGGCTCACGTGACAAGCAGCTGAGGTGGCCATGTCTGTGTGGCGTGGGTAGTGGTGGTCACTTGTAGGTGTTCCCAGGTGAGTCCCTCCACCACCACCCACCGCCTGCTGCAGTTCTACTCACACCTCCGTCCCATCGCCACCCGCCGCGTTCGGTCTCCTTCAGTGTGACTGACACAGAGGCTGACGCCTCATGCTCCAAAGGCCTAGTGTGATGCCAGCTATCAGTGTCGACTACGCAGTGTGACGCCGCCAGTCACTGTCGAGAGCTCAGTGTGGCGCTAAGTGACGTGTTCACAGTGTGGATTAGACATTGTCTCAAAATTAACAGTTGAGTGCCTTTATAGAGCGCAATCCGTCCATCTGGTGAGGGTTTGTGGTGATTCTTCCTCCCGGATGTAGACCACAACACCTAAGATAATGGTTGGAAAATAATGTTATCTCTTGTTTTGAAAATATATATATGTAATTATTAGTGACTGCAGTCCTGTTTCCAGGAAACAGACCAAGTAACTAATTATAAATCCGAATTTTATTTGCTAATATACTGCCCAAGTAACTATTTTTTCCATATATTATGGTATTTTCTTGCATTTAGAACCTCAGAGCTAAGGAGGGAAGAAGTAGGAGCTCGTAATGTTTTATCAATTTTTTTTACCAAGTTGGTTGTTTCCAAAATTGATCTTTTCTATTTGACATGTAATGTCAACGTTACTTGTGTCAGATGTTGACAGTTTGAAAGTGAAACTGGGAGTTGGTGTTGTATGGGTAGGTGCCAGTTGTAGTTTCTTAACGACACGTGTTACAATGTGCTTTAGGTGATAGCTGGTGTTACGTGGGTGGGAGGCAGTTACTGTAGCATCCTCACTACACGCGTTGGGATGTACTGATGGTTGTCGCCAGGTTGGTATTCTGTTTCAATCCACTTATCGTGGAAGGGTCCTTAAGTGGAGTATAAATAGTAAGTGATAATCACTGAGACGGTAAACTGGTATATTGAGTATAAGTAGTAGGTAGCCCAGCCTGCAGTCTTGTCCTGTCTCCCTGAGGGTACGTGTCTTGACTGCCTTCTCACTCACTGAGGGGCGTCTGCTGACCTGACAGTATTTGAAGTCCGTGGCATCACGGCTAACGTAACGAGCTTTTGGCACTTCCCTGATCCACACTTAAAAAAATGGGTTACTGGCCAGCAGGAAACAAATGTGTTACCTTTAAGACAGGAAATGTCTGTGCTGTGCTTCTTTTCTTGTAATTTGCATGTATTTCGTCATTGATAGGTGCAGTGAACGTGTGGGCAAGGGAAGGTGAGTCAGCAGCACTGTCTTTTGAGATAGTCACCTTGTACATGACTTACCGTATCTCTCGGCATACCTGTCCTCTCATCATGCGTCACCTACCCACATACCCTGCCCCTTTACTCTTTTCCTTGTGTAAACCTACACACCGTCTTACTCTTTCCTCTTGGTTGCTTATTTATCATCTCACCCTAAGGATTATTTAATGTCTCAGCTATATCCTCGTCCATTCCTAAATAAAATTTTAGCTATAATGTAGTAAATAGGTTCTTTGTGTGCTGGAGTATCTTCTGCCTTCACATTGTGTCCCTGGGCCCCCTGTACCTTTTGTCTAGTGCTCGAAGTGAGCTAGCTTCAAACATTATCGTTCATTGGCCTCGCACCGTGGTTATGCTGGTTGAGAATGAATTACTATTGGTGTGAGGTGAATCACCTCTGCCTGTGACTCGTGGTTCTGTTAGTGGGAACAAAGGTTATGTTGTTCGGTGGCGTAAGATTAACCACTTCTTGTGACTGGGGGTTGTGTTGGTGCGAAGGTTGTATGTTTGTGATGAGAGGTGAACCACTGTTGCTTGTAGCAAAAGTCATCATGTTAGTGTGTTCTGAGGTTAGGACGTCTGACCATGTGAAGCGAAATACGAGTAGATCAGTTTAGCTAGAGTCAGCTGATGTTTGTCAACACCACTGGATGGAGAGAGAGCAGAGGTCGAGATTCCATCTTTGAAAAAAAGTTGAATTCTCGATCTTGTATATAAAAAAAAGTTGATTTGTGTTAAATTAGTATAAAATTAATGTTCCTTTTGGACGGAACTGTACCTACCATCCCTCACCAATCAGGCTACTGCTTCGTACCAGGTATTAAAGTTGAGAATAAGACTATGGTAATTTTTTTTATATAAAAACCACCGATGACACCAGCAGAGTAATTCACGGAAGAGAAGATAGCTGTATTGAAAATTCTACACCTTGGAGATTTCAACGTTTAAATAGAAAATGGAAGAAGTCATCAGCATTGGACTAAAATAACTGAGAGCACCTGAGTCCACGTGTAATACCAGAAAACTGTAGAGGCTATGAAGAATTTGCTTTCAACCAACAGATAACAGAAGGTACTGGACGTAAAAGTACACTAGAGTTGATCTTCACGAGCAATTAAAAATTAATAAGAATATGATTAGTAAGTACCTGGTGTGAAACTGTACTTGGTTAGTGAGAACTGGTAAGTACCTGGTGTGAAACTGTACTTGGTTAGTGAGAACTGGTAAGTACCTGGTGTGAAACTGTACTTGGTTAGTGAGAACTGGTAAGTACCTGGTGTGAAACTGTACTTGGTTAGTGAGAGCTTGTAAGTACCTGGTGTGAAACTGTACTTGGTTAGTGAGGGCTGCTAAGTACATGGTGTGAAACTATACTTGGTTAGTGAGAGCTGGTAGGTACCTGGTGTGAAACTACGTGGTTATAATGTGATGGTTAGCACCATCATATTTGCCATGGTTGATAATTGTTAATTCTTGCTTGTATTGTATGACAAATGAGCATTCAGTTACCATAGATGGTTAGGCAATGCATTTGACTGTCAAGTAAGGCTAGCTGAATGGTTGATAACGTACAGGAGTTGACTGTGACTCTAAAGGATGTCTGTGGTTGGTAATACAATGGTAGATGTACCGACCGTATGTCAGTAAGATACAGTGGGGGGGGGGGGGTGACACTTGTTTATGAAGACATCCCCAGTGGGCGAAGCGTCTCCATGTACGAGATAATAACCCTCATATTGTGTCGTATTTACATACCTGTGGTTACCAGAAGCAGGTGGGGCTTCCAGTGCTGCTCGTGGCTTGTCTAAATTAAGAAGCCTTCAAGTTTTTCTTCTTCAACGTCATCGCTTCAAGGGGAGATACTTTAATGCTTGTGAAGGGCTCTTGATACAATGAAATGGAGCTCCCTTGGATCAGACCTAATTACCTCACATTTCCCCAGGTGCTGTATGACATTTGCGGATTTAACGCTACTCCGTGAATATTTAATAGGACATCGTATTGTCGTCTGTCCTCCAAAGCCACTAAGTTTTCCGACGGGTGGATGTTAGGCTATTTTTTTCTTAAAGTTACTTCTCATTAGATTATTGTTAATTATCTAATATTAAGGTCAGTATACTAACCTTAGCTGCTCGTCGGAGTTAAGTGATAATTTATAGTTAACAATGTATAAGTGAACTTTGCAATAAACATCTTCATTTTGTTCACAAATTATTTTTCATTTTTAACTGTTTTAGCTCCTCGGGTTTTTAGGATGTAAATTCAACAATATTAATTAGGTTATGTTGTGGAGACATATTTTGGGCATGGCCTTGGATGCACTGGAAGAAAATCAGAATGCAGATGTAATATACACAGACTGCAAAAGCATTTGACAAATGCGATCATGGCGTAATAGCCCATAAAATACGTGCTAAAGGAATAACTGGGAAAGTGGGGAGATGGATCTTCAACTTCCTAACAAATCGAACACAAAGTAGTGGTCAACAGAGTTAAATCGGAGGCTGCCATAGTGAAGAGCTCTGTTCCACAAGGCACAGTACTCGCCCCCATCTTATTCCTTATCCTCATATCAGACATAAACAGAGATGTACACCACAGCACCGTATCATCCTTTGCGGATGATACTAGGATCTGCATGAGGCTGTCATCTGCTGAGGACGCGGTTAATCTCCAAGAAGATATAAACAAAGTTTTCCAGTGGGCAACGGTAAACAATATGATGTTCAATGAGGACAAATTCCAACTACTCCGTTATGGAAAACTGGAGGAGATAATAACTAGAACAGAGTATACTACTGACTCCGGCCATACAATAGAGCGGAAAAATAATGTAAGGGACCTGGGAGTAGTAATGTCTGAGGATCTCACTTTCAAGGATCACAACAGTGCCACGATCGCACGTGCAAAGAAAATGATAGGATGGATAATGAGAACTTTCAAAACGAGAGATGCCAAGCCCATGATGATCCTTTTCAAATCACTTGTTCTCTCTAGGCTGGAATACTGCTGTACATTACATCTCCATTCAAAGCAGGTGAAATCGCAGATCTAGAGAGTGTACAGAGATCCTTTACTGCACGTATAAGTTCTGTCAAGCACCTAAACTACTGGGAACGCTTGGAAGCACTTGACTTGTACTCGTTGGAATGCAGGAGGAGATATATATCATAATCTACACTTGGAAAATCTTGGAAGGATGGTCCCAAATCTGCACACAGAAATCACTCCCTACGAAAGTAAAAGACTGGGCAGGCGATGCAAAATGCCCCAATAAAAAGTAGGTGCGCCATTGGTACACTAAGAGAAAACACCATAAGTGTCCGGGGCCCAAAACTGTTCAACAGCCTCCCATCAAGCATTAGGGGAATTGCCAATAAACCCCTGGCTGCCTTCAAGAGAGAGCTGGACAGATACCTGAAGTCAGTGCCGGATCAGCCGGGCTGTGGCTCGTACGTTGGACTGCGTGCGGCCAGCAGTAACAGCCTAGTTGATCAGGCCCTGATCCATCGGGAGGCCTGGTCATGGACCGGGCCGCGGGGGCGTTGATCCCCGGAATAACCTCCAGGTAACCCCTTAAACGACCTAATCGAACCAGATCACACCTAATATATAACTCAAAATTTGGATAAGATTTCGTTACGTTAGCTTTTTTTTGGGGGGAAGGGGGCATTACCATTGTAAACGTTTCCTTTATGTAGGCACAT